AGTATGGATGTCCGTCACGTATTTTAAGAGTTGTCCTCCCTAAAAAATTGCCCGTCTGCAATTCTTTCATTTTCATTTCCATATTTTATCATGTTAACGTCTCAACAAGCTTTGCAAATCATCCCTTCAAAGTTTTATACTTACTTTTAAAGTAATTTTTACTATTTTTAAATTCCTATTTCATTAAATATTTTTATTTTATGTATTTATTTTAGTGTGGATTATACATAAATTAATTTATTTAGTTTCCCTTAGTTAAGAAAAAAGAACCTGGAGACAAAACCTAATATAATTCTACTAAAAAAATATTTTTACTTAAATTTAAATTAAATTTTTCTTATTCAATTTCTATTTGAAGTTCTTATTTTTAATTTGCGTGTCATTTTGAAATTTCCTTTCAAATTATTTTTACTTTACTACTTGATAAAAATGTTTTTTGTTAGTCGTTTTTTATATTTTTTAAGTTTATTCTTTTTTGAGATTATTTTGATAAAAACATAAAGCTATAAATAAATATATAAGTAACTAAAATTCCATAATATATTATGGAATTTTAGTTACTTATATATAATAAGATAATTAGATAAGATAATTAGATAATTGCTGAAAATATTATGTTAATTTTAAAAATTACTAGGAATTTACAAAGCAAAGTGTTCACTTAGATTTCGGAAATTTATACCAATTTCTAGTCAACCATACTTAGCTTTTTTAAGACTAGTCTGCCAATCAGTCGATTAACACGTTATATACTACGTTTTATGCTATAAGTAAGTAATATTTGTTTCATAACAGATTAATGTAATTTTAAATTTGTTAATTTTTCTCAAATAACGTGTCACAAATACATATTTTATTTTTTGAAAGATTTCTTAAAACTCAGAATTAACTTTAATTTATGAATTTGTCAAAATAGTCAATATTTATCGATTTTCTGAAAGCGACCAAAAAGTTGAGATTCAAATCAATATAATTTCTATTTGAAACACATTAGAGTATTTTGCTTACTGTAAATAGTAAATTTAATCATTTAGTTTTCAATTAAATCTAAAAAGGAAGCTCCAAGAATACTTTTACATTTTAAAAAATTCATTTTAAACCTTAGGCATCGAAAATTTAGTGGAGGTTCCTAATTTTAAACAATCTAATATTTTATTAATTATTAGACACTTTAGCTTTATAGCCTTACGTTTGGCGATGCTTTTTCGAAAAATAATAATAAAATGTAAAATACTATATAACGATAAAATAAATTTAAAATTTCTTAACTAAGATCATATAAAAATTAATATAACATAATAATGTCTTAAATAAGAGGTACTTATAATTTTAACAGACATTTTTTATGAAATTTTATTATAACTTTTTATATTATCCCAGTTAGAAAATTTTAAACAACTTTTAAAACACGTGAAGTTTTAATGATAATATCATATATGAATGGCCATCAGTATATATAAAAAGGCATGTTTATACACATCCAGAAACAATGTAAAATATTTTTAAATACTGGTCGTTTGCAGATTGTAATAAGCTTTTAGATTTAGGATTAGCAAAAATAGTTTTACTTAATAACAGTACATTTGAAACAGTATTTTAAAAGACTTAACAAATTTATAAATTATTGTAATTAAAACTAAATAAAAGAAAACAATTCTTGTAAAAATTCTGTTTTCATCGGAAAATTTCTTTGGTTTTAGACAATATTATCCTTAACCTTAATATATATTATTTATAAAAGCAATTAAAAGCTGTTCTGATTCAATAATGTGTTAGTTTTATTAGGTTTTGTATTTTACAATTCAGAGCTGATTTTCAGTAACTGGTCATTTGATTTTAGGGTATTTGTTTTTAATATTATTCTTGTTTATGTTTTTTTTTGCTTTTTATGCTTTATCATTTATTTATTTGTTTTATTTTTGATAATTTTTTAAATTAATTTTTAAACCCCTCTCGGACACAAACAGGGTGTGGATTTTATTGAAGGTTGGTGCTTACTGTTCTCCACCAAAATTTTTTTATAAAAAGATGTGCGCTCCGTCGTTGTACAAACATACATACATACAGACAGAAATCATTTTTCTTATATATATATATATATATATATATATATATATGTCGTCATCCACAAACAGACTGTTTCGCTGTATCACAGCTCCTCAGTGTGGCTAGACATCCGATCGCTTCAAGCCGGGACCGAAACCCAACTGAATATATATATATATATATATATATATATATATATATATATATATATATATATATATATATATATATATATATATATATATATATATATATATGTGTGTGTGAATGGGTAGGAGAAAAAATATGCATACACACAAATATTTGCACGTACGTAAGTATATTTATTCCTCAGGTGTTATAAATAGAGTTCTCAATGTTATGAAACAGAGCTATAAGAATATATCAGTGAATATACATAATATCTAACGTCGGTAACATAGCACAGAATCTGCACACCTGAAAGTTACATCAACTGCATGAAACTTGTGTTATCGACGTTGGATATAATGTATATTCACTAATAATAATAATAATAATGATAATAATAATAATGATAATAATAATATATTTTATGAATGGTGATAAAACTTCATTATCTTTTCTTCTGATTATGGAAGGAAAATGACAGAGGTTATGGTTAATTAGGAAGCAGTTAAGTCATTTTCTAAAGGCACTTTTATATTTCGAAATACATACACACGCCCCCCCCTCCTGCTATTGAAGAAGTCATTTGATGTACTTTCGACTATCGTTGATCTTTTTCAAGGGAAGAATGGAGAAGATAGATAGATAGATAGATAGATAGATAGATAGATAGATAGATAGATCTGGAGCTATTAGATAGATACATTGATGCATAGACACATAAGTACATACGTACATACATCTGGAGTTGATAGATAGATAGATAGATAGATAGATAGATAGATAGATAGATAATGAACGAACTGAGATAGATAGATAGATAGATAGATAGATAGATAGATAGATAGATAGATAGACAGATAGATTATGAACGGACTGAGATAGATAGATAGATAGATAGATAGATAGATAGATAGATAGATAGATAGATACTATTGAAAATATTCGGAACAATACACATAATTTTGACGAGTTCCTTTAGAAGTTCCATTTGACATCAAACGACTTATTCGATATTAGGAAAAGCACACCAAAAGATTTAACACACACACGCATTCTCGCGCGTATTTATTTCTTAATATTCCTGTACAGGTGTCCTTGTTGGAAGTCTCCAGTACGTTTGTTAATTTTCATGGATTGTATTTCAACATTATTTGATGTAATAATTTTATTGACGGATTTTAAAAATAGTTTTTAGCTTAGATATTTTATTTGTGTAAATTTTGATTGGTCGTAAGGTAAAAAATCCATAAATAGAATTATTAGATCAAATAAGGCCGAAGTAAAATCCACGAAAATTAATAATATATATATATATATATATATATATATATATATATATATATATATATATATAATCACCTACTTTTTTCACTACACTAGAGGAACCACATTTTCTCTGTCATACATTGGGAGTAGGATACGTTTGTCTGGCTGCATTCACAATACTAAATAGTCGAACTTTACCACGATTTAACCCATAGCTGGGGACAGGAGAGAATAGAAGAAATAGTTTCATTGTTTTTTCCAAGGTCATATTATATATATATATATATATATATATATATATATATATATATATATATATATATATATATATATGTAATTGCATCCTGGATTTTTCAGATATTTCCTTTCCTGAACAATAAAATAATTCAACAACAACATGAGCGGTATATAATAGCTGGCCACTTGTATTCGAGGATACCCGTTAACTAGGGCGGCTAGACAATCTCTATCCCAGACGCTCGCTCAGGCACATTTGTCTTTGCTCAACACCCACAGAGCCCACCTGTGGCTTATACTGCAACTATGCTAAGCAGACCTTAATTGCAGTTTCTCTGAGAGACCGTGTTTTCTAGAGTGATCAACAATTTGAACAAGGCCAGCACGCTCAAGCCCTCGGCCATGATGACTTGTTGCTTCATGCTAGCACAGCTATCGAGGGGCCACAAGAGTTCCATCTATCCAATTTTACTCACAAGTCTTGCGTCAACGCGTGGTATGGTTTTCAGGCACTTTTCAAAGATGCCGCACGCTGGGATCGAACACGATCCAATCCGATAACATCAGCAAGGTACCTACCTGACAAACCGAACATGGTAAGATTCGAACTCGGGCCTCATGGTCAGAGAACTTTAACTTTAAAAATCCCGATGTATCCTTAGGCGATTTTTATAAAAATCGACTGAGGATACCGTAAGGTTGAAACCCAGTTAGCGGATTCAACTGAGCTCTTTTTAAAGATTTTATATATATATATATATATATATATATATATATATATATATATATATATATATAAATATATATATATATATATATATATATATATATATATATATATATATATATATATATATATATATATATATATTAAGAAAATGGACAAAGTTTTTATTTATAAAAGCATTTTTATGTTTAACGTTCTTTTTTATAGGACGAATATTTTCTATGAAAATTTCTATTTACCGACGGTAAATGTTATTTAATATTTTTTATTAAAATTTCAGATTCAGGCCGGTAAATGTTATTTAATACTGTTTATTATAAACAGAGCATTTACAAATACTTAAATTCATAAAATGAACGTTAAACATAAAAAATGTCTTTAATAAATATATATATATATAGTATATGAATTTTGATAATATGAGTATCACCTGTTACACGTATAAATGTTAGGAATCACATAAATGCGCCTTATATATATATATATATATATATATATATATATATATATATATATATATATATATATATATATATATATATATGTCTTTCATGGACAGCAATTTTCTCTCATGCTGGTTTAGTTGGAAAAAAGAATGTTTGAGATTATTTTTATAAATTTTAAACAAAGAACTTTCGTATCTATCTATCTATCTCAGTCACTTTCCATTTCTCTCTCTCTCTCTCTCTCTATATATATATATATATATATATATATATATATATATATATGTAAAAGTACTTAGTGGAAAGCGCTCAATATTTGTGATATCACTTTTGCGATCATCAGACATATCGAGTTTCTCTGATGATTGCACAATTGTGAAACCCAGCGTCACAAACGCATATCCATACAACTTATCTTAGCCGACGAATTTGGTCCTCTGAAGGACTTTTTATCAACCCAAATATAAGGATTTTATTTTTTATAAACGGAAGTAAAAATGTAATTTTTTAAGAATTTTTAAAAATGTCGTTTGTTTTTTAAGAATTTTCCAAGAAAGCTCAGAAACAGAGTCTAGGTTAACTCAAAGTCAAGTAAAATGAAGGAGGAAGAAATGTGATGGAATTTAAGATCTAGGAAAGGAAAGTGAGTAAATATTGTCTTGAAAAACATTTAATTGAAAATAGATTTGATTACAGGTTTCACCTTTCGAGGCTTCAGATCCCAAAAAATGAAAGAAAATAATGTGTGTATAATGTAATTGTATTTCTATTTGTCAAATTTCTTAAAATCTTTGTCGGAATTCTACATCCTAATTTAAAAGCGCATATATATATATATATATATATATATATATATATATATATATATATATTATATTTTGTTAGAAATTTTTGTTAGAATTCCAACAAAAATTTCGCTTGAGGATGGAACGGAGCCCATTTTACTTTCAACTCAATTTAATTTAAAGGATTATATTGAAGTTTTCGGCTCTAGTTTTGAAAACATGAGACCTCTTATGTAGCGATTTGGAATCATATTTTTTAAATAAATAATTATATATATATATATATATATATATATATATATATATATATATATATGTGTATTTAGGCAGCAATCGCTTTTTATGCAAGTTTTGTTGAAAACGATTGACTAGGTGTGATGGCTAAGATTTTATATAATTTCTCATGAGTTCATAAATTTTTTTCAGGACATAAATTATATACAAGTTGTTCGAATGTTTTATAAGCGATTTCGGTTATACATTTAGGATGAATTTTATTTTATTTTTAACTTTTTTTTATGCATTGTATTATGTATGTATCTAGAATTATAGGAATGTTTTATTTTTTAAACAGGGTCTGCACATTATGGCCGTGTTCATAGTTGATATCATTGAGTATTGGATTTTTTTTAATTAATAATGCTTTCATTATTTTTAACATTCTTATTCATGTGGATGATGTTATTATATGTGTATTATCAACAAGCATGTTACGGATAGTGGTTGGGAGTTCTCCATGTGTATTTAAATAAGACCTAATTGAGCTATGGTCAGTGAGATGTAACGTGAGTCTTCTTGTTAAACATGTTGTAGTATATCCAATATAATTATTTACAAATTTGGATTGGTCAGATATACGGCTCTTATATATATATATATATATATATATATATATATGTGTGTGTGTGTGTGTGTGACTCTGTGTGTGTGTATGCGTGTGTGCGTATTTCCAAACAAGTTTTATTAAATTCAACTAAGCAGATCTGTCTATAGTTTTATTGTATTCTTTCAGTTGTTGCACATCCGAATCAAAATTTCGGATAAACTGTTTAAAGTTCATTTATTTGAAGTCTTTCTTCAGTTAATTGCAACCGTTTCGGTCATTATTAAGAACAATATGTTATCAGTATATTGTGTACTGTACAATCCTTTTGTATACGATGGAATAATGGATAGCGGCTCGGAATGAGGGATCAGAGGAATCCATTACCTTCACTTGGGAAAGGTATGAATCCTCTTCTTCTCCCCACCCCTCTATGGGTAAATAGCAGCACAGACCCGGTTCTATAGCCTTGGATAGCAACTGGTCTAGCGCAGAAAGAAATGGCAACCTACTGTGGGAAAAAAAATCTGCCCCGTCAGTCACATATCGAAAGATACATGATCGCCTAAGCGTGTATCACAAATGTCACATAACTGAATAATAATAATAATAATAATAATAATAATAAAAACACATAATTTAATAACACATAATATCTGATGCTTTATTTCTAGCGTGGTATCGTTCCTTCTAACCACTACATGAAATCACATTCAAATGACTAAGATTTTTAAGCTTCCTAAAACATACCAGTGTGTACCATACGGAATCTTGCCACCTACGTAATTAGCAAATAGTTCTTTATAATGACTGTTAAGGTCGAAACTAGTTGAGCAAAAACTACAGAACGGACAGGAATTTTGGACAGTTCAGCCACAAATTTGATCCTTATTTATAAATATTGGGAAAAATTAACAGAAAAACTTTGTCGGTTGAATTTAATAACGCTTTTACATATATATATATATATATATATATATATATATATATATAATTAATTGCAAAATTAAATTCGGGGTTTTTAGCTTCTATTTTTGAAACATGGTTGGAACTGTGTAGCGAAAAAAACCATATTTTAAATCAATTAATTTATAATATTAATGCTCTGTAAATTTACATTGAGCACTATTTTGTAAAAATAAAAAATATCTATAAGAACACCGGATTTTATATCTTACTGTTCTTTTCTTTTTTTTATTTATATATATATATATATATATATATAGTAAAACTACACAAGGTCAACTAGGTAGATGGTCCCCCAAACAGGGTGATAAGACACTGGAATTATATATATATATATATATATAGTTCTATATATATATATATATATATATATATATATATGTAAATATAAATATAAAAAGTATGAATTATTTTATTATAAACCTAAGCAACAGATTTTCATGCTTGGCGCAAAAAATGACGATTGCATAAAAACAGCCTGTCGCCTCTGAGTGTTGACTTCAATGTTCACTTTTTATATTTATATTTACATATGCTCTATCTCTGATACTGAGCACTTTATGCCATAATTATAGGACACCTTTTAAATCTAAATTTCTTCATATATATATACATATATATGTATATACATATATATATGTATATATATATATATATATATATATATATATATATATATATTTATATATATATACACACACACACCCATATATATATATATATATATATATATATATATATATATATATATATATGTGTGTGTGTGTGTGTGTGTGTGTGTGTGGTATTTCTGACAGCAAGAATTCAGACAAACAGGTTTTATTAAATTCAACCAACAAGGGTGTCGGTTTGTTTTTTCATTACATTTTTTCCAATTTCTTTGTTTAGCGACTAAGGACGTTGGAATGAACCAAATCGTTAAGTCAGGGATGGACGTATTGTCATATTGTGTCAGACTGCAGTTTAACCATTTTTTCAAGTGTTTATGAAAAGAAATAGAAATAAGTTCTCAAAGCTATTTTCTTTTTCTTTTGCCAGATGTAAAAAAAAAAAATGACATTTATAATAAAATAAGGAACAAATAGGAAACGTTTATAAATCTAACATGTTTCGCTTTTATTAAAGCTTCACCAGAAAAAAAAATCTTTTTCTCCTTCGTATTTCATTCTCTGATGAAGTTGTATATCAGGATCGAATTTTGTTCTTATAATTTTTCCTGTTTTGTTCACGTGCTTATAATTTAGCAAAAATGGTTATCTATCTATCTATCTATCTATCTATCTATCTATCTATCTATCTATCTATCTATATTTGGTTGGATTGATGTGAGTTTGGACCCTGGTTTCACGATTTTTGCGATCTTCAGACAAACTGGTTAATTTTTTTTAATTTGTTTATAGTAGATTGCGTGTATTGCGTTATTATGGAAGTCGGGGGAATCGTCGTCGTGACGAGCAAGTGTGTATGTGTGTCTGCGTACCTCATCGGGTGTACAAACATGCATCTATGTTTGCGTTAGCCCAATGACATCACGACGACGATTACCCCACTCCCATAATAACACCAATGCACGCAATCTACATAAACCCAAAATTAAAAAAAAATAACCCGTTTGTCTGACGATCGCAAAAGCGTGAAACCCAGGGTCACAAACTCACATCAATCCAACCAAATATGTTAGTCTATCTTTGATATTGTGCGCTTTCTAATAAGTACCGCGTATATAATATATAAATAATAATAATAATAATAATATATATATATATATATATATATATATATATATATATATATATATATATATATATATATATGTACACACTGTTCACGCACACGCACACATTTATGCAATAAGATGCGTCTTTTCATTAATCTGCATGACTTTTAAATAAATAATTTGTATTTTCCCCTGTTTCTTTCGAATTAATGCTTCCATTTTTCCCGTCGTTTTCTGCTTTCTGCTGTTATATATTTCCGGTTTTCTTTGAGTAAAATACTTTCAGAAACAAAATTTTAAATATAATATGAACAAAGGGTACGCATCAAAAAATTGTGTCTAATGTTTCGGCCAAAGCGTTGAAAGCAACGAAGATGAAGAAACTATTTTAAACAGTAGTTATAAAAATAAATACAGTTTATGAAATAATCTCTTAGCCTATTTTTATCTGTCACGATTAAGTCGTATATATTAAGAAATCGCCGTTCGATTTTGTGTTCGAATCCCAACGGTAGATATTGTGTTTAATATTTCTTCGAATATTTAACGTGTAAATGTCCAATGAAAAAAAAAAAAAAATCAAAGTTTTCAGAAAATAATATTTACATATTTTAGCAATTTATTTGCATTAATATAACACTACGCTCATTGACATATTTGTATATCTAGGCGCGTTCCATAAGAAATTCGCACAAAAGTGCGTGTGTAGATCTCTCTCTGTCTCTCTCTCTCTCTATCTCTCTCTCTCTCTCTCTGTGAATGCAGGTGTATGTATGTGTTTGTATGCCTTTGTGTATACATTGGTGCAACTGTGTATTATATCTCTGAGTAGGATGAATAGGAGCTTTAAGGACCCATTTTTTACTGTTATCAATTTACATAGATATATAGATATATAGATAGATAGATAGATAGATAGATAGATAGATAGATGTTGTGGATATAGAAATTAATACTCCATGGTCGGAAGATGGCTTAAGGTGTTTTTCTCTCTCTCTCTCTCTTTCTCTCTCTCTCTCTCCCTATATATATATATATATGTGTGTGTATGTATGTATGTAAACATGTATTAAATTTGCTATATTTGTAGGGAAAGAGTGCACACATTATCGGAGATATGTGGGTGGACAGAGAAATCAACTTCATGATTGTCAGTTTTACACCGCAAGCGATCTTCAGATAATGGACGGCTGATCTCTCTCCCTCTCCCCACTCTTTCCCATATATATATATATATATATATATATATATAGAGAGAGAGAGAGAGAGAGATAGATAGATAGATAGATAGATAGATAGATAGATAATATTAGTGATAAATATACATATGCAAAATATATAAATATATATACATACATGCATACACATACATATATATTTTGTATAAAAAAATTCCAAGAGAATAGAATCCAGGTATATATATATATATATATATATATATATATATATATATATATATATATGTGTGTGTGTGTGTGTGTGTGTGAGACATTGAGGTCAACACACGTCGGTGACAGTGTTCTTCATGCTTAAACGCATGAAAAGGTAATTGTATATTTGGTCACCAATTCCTCTTTTATACAAGTTACATTAAAAACGACTGACAAGGTCCTGTTTATAAGCATTTTATTTAATTTTTCTTCCATTTCGTAAAGGTTTTTTCTTTTCTGCTCATAAGGCGTGTAAAAATTGTCTGGATATTTCGTGTGTCTCAGCGTTTTCAGCTATTTTTTTTTTGTCAAGGATGCTTTATTTATTTTTAATACAAACTGAATGTGTAGATTTTATGTATGTATTTAGAGTTACTGGAATGTATTTTTAGTTTCAAATCACGTTCAGCACATGGTGACCGTGTTCATAGTTGATGTTATTGAGTGTCGGCCATCTCTTTTTTTGTTATAAATACTTCCATTATTTTTATTCCTTTTTTTTTGCATGCCGATGAGGTTATTATAGTTGTATTTTCTACGAGTATGTTGCGGAAGGAATTTGGTTGGTTGCCGTAGATGTCTGAAACAAAACAAGAAAATTAAATTAATTAACTACTATAAAAATTTTTAAACATCTGACCTTTTCATAATCAACAGCAACAACTCACCTTGAAGATCCAAATTACTGAGAACCAATATTATTTATGAAATCACATGTCCCTTAAGGCACTGTGTTCCCGATCAAACCAAATTCATGAATAATTATATTGGGCATACCACTACATGCCTATCGAGTAGACTAACTTTACACCTCTTTGACCATAGCCCAATTAGGACTCATTTAAGCACATCCGGAAAACTTTCTTTAATGAAACACACACACACACACACACACACACACATATATATATATATATATATATATATATATATAAAGATAATAAGAAAGAACAGTAAGATTTATAATCCGGTGTTATTTTTATTTTTAGACAAAACAGTGCTCGATAAAAACATATTATAATTATTTTCTTTTTTAAAAATATGACTCCATCGCGACACAAATTTCTATGTTTCAAAACTGAAACTAAAATTGTAAATTTAAATATAAAAATTAAACTTAAAATCTAGAGTTTCATACAATTGTCAAGCAATGCTTGGCATAACTTTCTAAGAAATTTACTTAATTTATAAGCGCAGACACTCTGGATTTTAAGTTTAATTTTTATAATAAAATTTACAATTTTAGTTTCAGTTTTGAAACATAAATTTCTGTGTCGATGGAATCGTATATTTAAAAAGAAAACAATTATATACATATATATATATATATATATATATATATATATATATATATATATATATATATATGCTTGAATACAATTTTCTGGCCTGAAGATTGCGTTCAAGTATGAAACAGACTGTCGCTGCTCGGTGTTGACTTTACTGGTCCATGTTTTTTTTATATATACGCCCTCTTCCTGAGATTGATGCTTATTAAATATATCATACCTTAAAACTATATTTTAGCACACACACACGCACGAACACACACACACACACATATATATATATATATTGCATGAATCATTCATACAACAAACAGATTAATGAAGTTAATGATATAAATGGCGAGAATACATCTTCGCAAACAAATTTATTAAAATTACATTAACCCACGAACCTCTAGATGAATGTTGTGATCCCTGTTTTTAATAAATTCAACTTGTATAAGGTCTTTTTTTGCTAGTACTTTCATCTGTTCATACAAACATCATCTGTATTATATATATATATATATATATATATAAAAGTTAAACAAAACAGTTAAAATATTAAAAAATGAAAACAAATACTGGACAAGATTAACAGAATACCACCCCACCCATCCACACTATATGGTTTACCCAAAACGAACATACCCAATAACCCATCAGATCCATTGTACCAGGTATTAACAGTGCACCCCACAAATTAGCTAGAGCCATTGCTGAAGTCCTAACTCCGTTCCGAGGAACCAGCAACACAACACATATCAAGCACTCTGGTGACTTTGGTATAAGGAGTAATGGATAGCAGCTCGGATTGAGGAATCGGAGAGCCGAGTTCGAATTCCATTCAAATCCATTACATTTACTTATGTACTAATACCCTTGAGAAAGGTACGAATTCTCTTCTTCCCTCCAGCTATGGGTAAATAGCAGGACAGGCTGGGTTCTGAAGCCTTGGATGGCATCTGGTCTACCGCAGAAAGAAATGGCAACCTACTGCGCGAAAAATCTGCTTCAAAAGATACATGTTCGCCTAAGCGTGCATCGCGCACGGTACATAACTGACTGGTGACTTAATCCAGAGAATATGAATCGTAAATATGGAAAACATGTTTATAGCGAGCCAAGGCATCAAAATCATTATACACCAACATATCCATCACGAAATGCCTCAACATATTGAGATACCACCTCGAAATTACAAAGAAAAGTTTCCTCTACTTGTTCATAAAATTATAAAAATATGCAGACTAACCACTGCTTCTTTTCGACAATATTCTGTACAAGCAAAATTTCTGTTTACCTCTGGGATCACCCATCAGTGATGTTCTCGCTTGTCTTTTTACTAGAATTTCTAGAATCCGGTCCATTTAGGCACACCATCCCAAACAGTTCTATTTGCCTAAAATATATAGATGAGTCCTCTTATTATATCCCCAAGATACAAACTAATTCGACATAATAATGAAGCTCAATAAGGTTGAACCTACCATTGAATTCACACAAGAATTTGAAATAAAAAGTTCTGTACCTTTGTTCGACATATTATTAATACGCAGTAATAATAAATGAGATTTTAAAGTATATCGTAAACTCACAAACAAAAATGACCTTATCAACTTCTATTGCCACCAATAACCAAAAAATAAAATCTGGTCTAGTCATAGGATTCTACCTTACAGACCTTAGAACAAGTAGCCAAGAATACCTAAATGAAGAAGAGTGAAATATGGAGAAAAATTTCAAACTTCTTCACTACCAGCATCATTTTATCCTCAACGCAAAAAAAACGAGCTTACAATATTCACAATGCCACCCCCAAAGAAACAGACACCACTAATAACACTTTTAACAAAAATTACATAAAATTCATAATCTTGCCCTCCAGCATTCTTTCTACTAAACTCGCAAACAAATTAGTTACCCATAATACTAGGATCGTTACCACCACCTCTAAGACAATCAGAAATATAATTAGTAAGAAAAATAAACCCAACACCGATTTAAATGCCGGGATTTATCAAATAAATTGTTTACAATGCAAAGATGTTTATGTCGGGGAGACATCACGTGATCTAAAAGCTTGCATCTAAGCACATAAGAGAGACTTGTGTTTTGACAATCGATCTAACTCTCGTTTTGATCGAAACGATTTTGGACATAACTTTGATTTCACTAATGCCACCCTAATTAAAAACGAACATTATCCTTTAAGGCGAAAATACATTGAAAACTTAATGATAACATTATTACCCACTATAAGCACACGCCTAAAACATTGCATTACATCAACATCTTTCTTAAATAATCTAACACATCTACTTAATACAAAGAATACATTCTTAAAGACGCGAGTCATAAATTAGAACCCTGTAACTCCCCGCTGCGCAAGTTGATCTCACAAAGGTGATGAAAAAAAGAAGCCCAACGATACACACACACACTCACAATTACAAATACACATTACCATCCGTTGCCCACTTAGACATACAAGAATCTTCACAAACCTTCATACACATAGAATTATGCATGATTTTAATACAACACGTATCTCACCAATGAAAACTGAAGCAAACATAATAAACAGTGCTTTCTGTCATTTTATCCGTTTTCTCTCAATCTCTGACGAAGCTTTAATAAAAGTGAAACATGCCAGACTGATATACATTTCCTATTTGTCCTTTATTTTATCACACACACACACACACACACACACACATATATTATATATATATAGGGTGCGATGGGTAAATTGTCACCATTTTCGTTTTTTAATTTCCCGCATTCATGTTGTTTCTTTTTGATTTTGTTGACTGCACAGTATATTAGAGTCAGTTGGGCACCATCTATTAGAAAAAGAAGACCATGACGCAATTCAATCTGCCAGAAATTTGAAAAAGGCGTGCTGTACTGCTTGACATTCGCACCGGAAGATCCAATACGAAATTTCAGAGTAGTATTTGGGTGTCAATTTGTGGACAGTGCAGTAGTGTTGGAAAGAGTTGGATGAGTCTAACGGTGTTTTACGAATGTAATGCATCTCGGAAAACTCACTTTTATCGTTCTGATAAGACTCCTAAACCTCAGGCTCAACACCGAGGCCTACATCAAGTGCCTTTAGGAGGTAGCGCGGCTCTGGGTCAAGAGGGTGGCTGCTGGAAGACTCCATGTCTGGCAACAGGACCATGACACACAAGCAGGGAAACTCAGTCATTGCTCACAGACAATTGTTGCGACCACATCATCCCTTACATCTGGCCACCTAAACTGCAACCCCCTTGATTATTGTGTGGGGCGCAGTTGAGCGAGACACTAACAAAACTCTTTGTAACACTAAAGATGAACTGAAGGCAAGGATTATGGCTGCATTCACCAACTTACACAAGGAGACCATCCAGAAGAGTTTCAGGAGATTCCGAAATCGTCTGGAGGTCGTGGTTGAAGCCAATGGCAATTTTATTGAATAAATTTATTCTTTACTATTTCAAGATATTTTTATGTCCTTTTGCTAAATATATCAGTGTTATTTTCATTTTTTGCCTAATTGTGACGACAATTTATCCATCACACTCCATCTATCTATCCATCTATCTATCTATCTATCTATCTATCTATCTATCTATCTACCTATGATAAAAGCATAGTTTCAAGGTATGCTATATTTATGGGATAAAGTGCTCAATATCAGGTATAGAGCATATGTGCGTGCGCGCAACATGCACGCGGGTGTGTACGGGACTATATATATATATATTCAAACAACAAAATAAATACTATAAACCCAACCAACCAACCATAAGTAACACCCTAAAAATAGAAAAAAACAAAACTTTACCATTTAAGCACTTGTTTATTAATATCAAAGCACTGACACACGTGTACATGTGTCTGTGTACGTGTATATATGTACAGATGTGTATACCTATAGATGTACATGCATGAATGTGTGCGCACGCGTATACACAGGCATATGCAAATAAATTTAAACGATAATAAATAAATAAAAATTAATATATGAAACTAATTGTTGTGTATGATACACCAAATTTTTTTAAGCGGACTACCGACCATATAAATATGGGTTGGTACCGGAAGACGGGGAAGATAGTAGAGATTAAGAAATTGAATCCAGAGACTCTGCCCGACTGCGATTTAGTCAACCCATTATGCAGGAACAGTCTTCCCAAGAATATACCAAACTAACTGTAAATATTGTGTACCTATTCTTTGTTTCAATACATTTTGTTAACGTACATTTTGTGTTGTATTATTCCATGCTTATTTAAGCTTCAACACTAATCTGCTACAAGTAATACTCAAGATACCACCAAACCAAATAAGGAAACGAAATAATAGCTAAGTGAAGACATATAAAAATATTTAAAATTTAAGCAATATCAATTATTTATGTAAAAACGAAATACAGCTTTCCTAGCCCAAGAAAAGACTAGAACGCTCAAAAATTAAAAATTAAAAAGGATAACATGTCTAAAGAAAAACAGGATATAAATAACTACAATTAGATACATTTGAAAGTAAAGAGTAAAAAAAAAAGAAAAAGACAAAGCTAAGGAGTGAGTGGAAAATGGAAAAAAAAACCCAGAAGAAACAGACAAATAATCACGACACCCTACGCGTATGCACATCCGCACAGACGATCACATTGTTGCCCGCGCGCAAACGTAAACACAAACACAAACAATACGAGAAAACTTACACCAATGATAAGTGCATAAAAAGAAAAACCGGGAAATATAAGCAGCCAGTTGTTGGTATCCCCTGAATATATATATTAATCATTTCATCCTTAATCAAGGCGGAAATGTCACTAGTGCGCAGGGGGTTACAAGGAGTGAAAGTGAAAGTGAAAGAAAAGACTGAGAATAGAGTAGATTGAGGAAAAGAAAAAAGATGAACGGGATTCAAGAAGACAAAAGATGGTGATTTACGTGGCATTTAAATTTTTGAAGGTTGTAATTATCAGAGAAGCAAGTAAACGGAAGGGAGTTTCACAGGTGGAGAGCACGAGAAAAAACCCTTGGAGTAGAAGTGGCGTTTGTATTTAGACATTTCGACTGTAAAATGGTGGGACATAGATGCCAATCTAGTAACACGTTTAAATTCATGTATTCGGGGCACCATAGAAAAAAAACCTCGTCAGATAATATATGTAGAAAAGACAAAGGAAAGCCATGTCACGTCGGTGAGAAAGTGACTGGAGTAGAGATGCCTGGTGAGGATTAATTACATTGCAGATCCTTCTTTGGATTTTGTCAAGAATCTTGAGATGTACAGCAGGAGCACCAGACCAGATATGGCAACAGTATTCAATGCACAAACGTATGGTAGATTTGTAAACGTGCAAGATGGATTCGAACGAAAAAAAGGTTTTCTGGTACAACACAGTGATCCAAATTTCCTTGCAGTAGATGCAGCTATTGATTTGATGTAGTCAATCCACTGTGGAAAACGTGAGACCAAGAAGGCGCAGTGTGTTGCTCTCCTGGAGTCTAGCGTCAGCCACGCTGATGGAAGACCGAAAAAAGATTCTCTATGGTGGCTAAATCAAAGTAGTTTTGTTTTGGAGGCGTTAAAAATTAAAAGTTAACCACTCCAAGTTAACCACTGATTGAAGATCTTTTTCGTATATTTATGTAGGTGTGTTGTGTGTGCGAGCGTGTGTGTGTTCGTGTTTGTGTTTGTGTGTGTATTATGTGTGTGTGTTTGTTTCTGTTTGTGCGTGTGTGTAAATACAACTGAAAAAGAAGCAGGCGAGCTTGGGCCTTAGAAATTGCAACTCAAGAGCATAAATATCTGATATAAATTCCCGACGGAGGAAAAAGAAAACTCAGATGTCTATAAAAGAAGAACTTTTAACGTTCTGAAGCTTTGTCTATAAAAGTAGAGTTTATACATTGCGAAGCTTTGTCTATAAAAGAAGGGCTTTTAACATTCCGAAGTTTTGTCTATAAAAGAAGAGCTTTTAGCATTCCGAAGTTTTGTCTATAAAAGAAGTGTTTTTAACATTCTGAAGCTTTGTCTATAAAAGAAGGGCTTTTAACATTCCGAAGCTTTGTCTATAAAAGAAGAGCTTTTAGCATTCCGAAGTTTTGTCTATAAAAGAAGTGTTTTTAACATTCTGAAGCTTTGTCTATAAAAGAAGGGCTTTTAACATTCCGAAGCTTTGTCTATAAAAGAAGAGCTTTTAGCATTCCGAAGTTTTGTCTATAAAAGAAGTGTTTTTTAACATTCTGAAGCTTTATCTATAAAAAAAAGGAGTTTTTATCTTTACTGTTGATCCGTTTTCCTGCTCTCGTCAGATATGCAATATTTGGATCGGCGCGAAACGTCTGATTGGTGAGCCGAGTTTAAATTCCGGCCGAAGCCGATGCATTCACATTCGCACCCTTAGGAAAAGGATTAATCCATCACGTCTCCCTCTGGTTATGGGATAGATAGCAGAGCCCTCTAAACTTGGTTGGCAACCGGTCTAGGAGAAGGACCCCTCTGAATTCAAAACTGGTTGCGTGTGTGAGTAACAACTTCATCTTGTACTATTGAAACCAAATCCGTGTCTCCTAGTGTGGTTTGATTTCGGGCATCCTAGATAGGAGAGGGTGAGGTAAATGATTTCAAGCTCCATACAAAGATGTTCTTATAAGTGATTCTGTAGCGCCTGGCTATAGGGTTCAAATCCTTCTTTAACCATCGATCTGTGAAAGATTAGATATTATTAGTTTTGAGTCAGGCAAGTCACCCATATGAAAGTTTCAATTTACAACGATTTAAGAACATGAATCAAGATTTTAGGTTAATGTTATGGTTTTGTAGCCATTTGTGGCATTGTAAGAAACTAGCTCTAGCACAGCAAATCTCATATTTCATTTCCTTATCTTTACTAAATTTGTTATAAGCGATCCAAATATCAAGGTATTTGAAGTGTTTAATATTTACTAATTCCACATCCTGAATTTCTATGATTGATTCAGGATGGGTACCATCATTGCTTTCATTCCAGTTCCAGATCATAGTTTCTTTTTTAGAAAAGTTTGTTGTGTGTCCTATTTCTTGGAACACTTGGTAGAAAATGTTGATTTTTTGTTCAAGATCATTTTTATCGCAAATCCGTTGACGTTGATGCATAGACTGTCCACCGACCTCATCATCAGATATACAATTTTTTTCATTGAGGCAGTATGCAATGTATTGCCCAAAATATAATCTTAACTTTTAAACGACAGATATCACTTAGTAATTTTCCACATAGATCTACTTGATCCGGATATTTTTTCGGTGGTTTTCCAGAATTACTGTAAGGGCGGCTCACACAAATCTGTAAACAATGAAAGGAAACACACAAACAAGAACATAGAGAATACAGAAAGGAGAAAACGAACATGACGAAACACAAAGAATATATTAAAGAATACGAATATATGGATTATTCAATCAGGTAATGAAAAAGAGTGGGAAAAGTGGCGTTTATATAGGAATATTTGTCTAAGTCTTTTTATAGATCTCTATATATGTCATTTTATCTAAGTTTTTTTTTATCTATTGATCTATTTTCATCTAAGCCTATCTATCTATGTATGTCTATTCATATCATATAAGTTTTTTCTTATTTATTTATTTATCTATCTATCTATGTCTATTCATATCTAAGTTTTTCTCATCTATCTATCTATCTATCTATCTATCTATCTATCTATCTATCTATCTATCTATTCATACATCAGTTTTTCTTATCTATCTATCTATCTATCTATCTATCTATCTATCTATCTATACATAAGTTTTTCTTATCTATCTATCTATCTATCTATCTATCTATCTATCTATCTATCTATCTATGTCTATTCATATGTAAGTTTTTCTTTATGTATGTATGTATCTATCTATCTATTCATATCTATTTTTTTCTTATTTATTTATCTATTTATGTCCATTCATTTTTTCTTATCGATCTCTATATATGTCATTTTATCTAAGTTTTTTTTTTATCTATTGACCTATTTTCATCTAAGTCTATCTATGTATGTCTATTCATATCATATAAGTTTTTTCTTATCTATCTATCTATCTATCTATCTATCTATCTATCTATCTATCTATTCATATCTAAGTTTTTCTCATCTATCTGTCTATCTATCTATCTATTCATACATAAGTTTTTCTCATTTATCTATCTATCTATCTATCTATCTATCTATCTATAACTAATTTTTTCTTATTTATTTATCTATTTATGTCCATTCATTTTTTTCTTATCTATCTCTATATATGCCATTTAATCTGTTTTTTTATTTATTGATATTTTCATCTAAGTCTATCTATGTATGTCTATTCATATCATATAAGTTTTTTCTTATTTATTTATCTATCTCTGTCTATTCATATCTAAGTTTTTCTCATCTATAAGTTTTTCTCATCTATCTATCTATCTATCTATCTATCTATCTATCTATCTATCTATCTATCTACCTATCTATCTATCTATGTCTATTCATATGTAAGTTTTCCTTTCTTTATGTATATATGTATGTATGTATGTATGTATGTGCGTATCTATCTATCTATCTATTCATATGTGATTTTTTTCTTATTTATTTATCTATTTATATCCATTCATTTTTTTTTATCTATCTATCTATCTATCTATCTATCTATCTATCTATCTATCTATCTATCTATCTATCTATGTCTATTAATATCTAAGTTTTTCTCATCTATCTATCTATCTATCTATCTATCTATCTATCTATCTATCTATCTATGTCTATTCATATCATATCTATCTATCTATCTATCTATCTATCTATCTATCTATCTATCTATTCAGAAAGTATGTGCATCGAATTCGACTTCTGTTCTATATTTTTATCTCAATTTATCCTACACATATATATTCATATACGTACGTGTACCTGTGTAAATTGTGGCTACATAATCTTCTGCATTTCAAATAATCGCTGTTAGACATCAAATAAACATTCACGTTTATTTTCTCAACACCAAGCATATTGGCTTTCTTGGCCATGCCACTTGGAAATAAAATAAACAGAGCGAACTTCTTCTGATAAATCATAACAATATTCTGTTCTCATCTACGTATTCCTCTCTCGACGATTACTATCTAATCATCGATTAAAAAGTCTTTATTTTTTTCTATATATATTTTGTGCATGTTTTACATTATCCGTGTTTTTATTATTGTTGCTGTTTTGACGTTGTCCACAAATTGTATGGAACATAAGCAGTTTTGAATTTTCTAATACATTCTGGGACTTGCTTCCATTAAATTTGAATTTGTTTCGCGACAATTCATATTACTAGAGGCGATAGAAATATTAAAATGATAATGTGTTTGTTATTGACGTTTTTTTTTCTCGAACGCTGGTAATCTTGCTTGGCAGCTGCGCAATCACCAACTTCCGCTCTCTTTTTCTCTTTTACTCACATACATATTTAAATATGAAGGCGAACTGTTAGTAATTTGATAATTGAAACAAAAATTTAAAATAAAAAAAAATAAGGATAAAAAAAAGAAATACGGGCAAAAAATATTACGGCTTCGATGTTAAAAGTGGTATCAGTAAATTTTACATATCGGGGAGATGTTTTATCGTGAATTTAAAGAATTATTATTGGAAATTCAGATAAGATTGCTGCATTTTTTTTAGTGTCGATTGAGTAGCTATACAAAAAATAGAAAGGGATGTGAGACAAGGATGCGGCTTTTCGTCGGATTTATTCAGCCTCCACAGCGCTGTTATCCTAAGGGAACTGGAGACCCTACGGACAACTTCTGCCATATTGGTCTAACCGCACCTCCTTTTCACTTCGACTTATCCGCACACTTGAACATCATTATGTGTAGCTGACAGTACGAACGGATTAGATCTACTCGAGAGACAGTCTATTTGGCGCCATGGGCAGACCAGAATTGACTACTTCGATCCCAATTGTAACTGTTAATATGGACCGGCAACCGGAAATCATGAATGTCTGGCTTGTCGTCACTTGACCACAAAAACTTTTTTTTATTTATTCATTCATTTGTTTCCTTTCGGTCAAGTGGATAGAACTTAGAAGACTTAGGTTTTAAAGACTTTATGCACCGGTTTTACACCCGAAATCTAGATAAAATCATACCTTCCTTTTTTTCTGTGGGTGGCCTAATCATAGTGTCAAAACGACTCCACTATTTCCCCAAAACCAATCACGGCATAGTATGGTTTACTACACCTATTTCCTGTTTTCTAACCTTAAAAAGGAGTTTGAAGAAAAGGACATGTGTGAATGATTTGTAGACGAGAGTAGCACTAGACCAACTATCAGAATTTCTAATTATGGTGGGAAAATTGGTCGAAAAAAAAACAAAACAAAAGTGGGTGTAAGGAAAATGCGTTGGAATGTTTGAACTTAGGAGGCGCAACAAATTAAATTAACATATCAGATCCGACGACTAGAAAGACAGTTGTTGAACTTTCTGCGAACCAGTAATTCGGAAGTTCTCTGTGGCTGAGCGATCATAGCACGTCAGTCTAAATGACGGTTCCGTATAGGATACAGGTTCGATTCCTGTTGGAGGATGCATATTTTCTACGAAATTTCTCGAACATTCAGGTGTAAGATCGGTGTATAACGTCTTTGAAATTGAGTCTCCTAAGTGCTATACACTTGACCGAAAGGAAACAAATGAATGAATAAAAAAAAAAAGAAGCTTTTGGGGTCAAGTGCCGACGAAGCCGGACATTCATGATTTCCCATTGCTGGTCTATATTAACAGTTACAGTAGTCAGTTCTGGTCCGCCCTCGAAGGTTCAGGCCGATAAATATAATTAAGACTGTTTAATTAAAAAAAAAAAAAACAATTTACTCAAATAAGTATATCCGTAAAAAACGTATAAACAGAAAAATATATGAAAATATTGCTTGGATTTAATTCAATCAAACATTACTTTTAGTATATACCCGTATTTGAAATAGACGCCTCGTTTTAATTTTAAACAGAGTGTATTACATCTATCGGCCTGCGCACTCGAGAAATAAAGAAATTGTACTCTCTAGCAGGGGGGGAATTGTACTCTCTAGCAGGGAGGAACGCAGGTACGAACTCTGCCGGGGAGCACATTTTTCGTTCATATGATCAGTTTATGAAAATAATATATATATTAGTGGCTGTTAAAAAAGTACCACTTGCCATCCACTTCCAAAAATCTGACTACCCCCCCCCCCGCAAAAAAAAAAAAATTAACCCCATAATTTTAGGCGGGTATATACCTTTTTGGTTCGACCGAGAACATTTTAACACTCGTGGTGGAAAACTTATTCTCTACTTTACCACAAGCGAAACGTCGCAAGCCTGAAGCTACGCCATCGTTCTTCCTATTGCCGAGTTCCATTTTTAAATTCTACTAATTCAGACCATTACAACTAGGACACGCCATGCTATCCCTACGGACTTGAATCAGTCGCAATTTCTCCGTAGTCCAAAAAAAAAAAAAAAAAAAAAGTTCTATAGGTTTTCTCCTAAAACTACGACTTTGTGGAACAGACTCCTGCGTAGGTACTTCCCTGAACATTTTAATCTTCAAGTCAAGGGTAAATCATTATCCTCCGTATCATCATTATATTCATTTTCTACCACCATTTTTCATTCATATTACAAACGTCATTTTTCATAAGCATTTTAATAGTAATCATCTATGTCCATTTGCTCCTGTGTTTTGTATTGGATAGATATAAAGACAAAAGGAAAAAAGCTATAAAAGGAGTGATTCGCTGAGAATAGGCCTGCTTTCTTTGGTTTCTTCAGGTTACAAGGAAAGACAATATTTTATGTAAGAAAAAAAATGGGTTGGAATCTCTGAAGATCGAATGTTCCGAAGTACATTATAAAACGTTATATAAGATTCCTGTACTTTCTTTATTCATTCCCGTGTCGCATTTCCTGTCTCCTGCTTAAAAACTCTTTAGATATTTAAATTTTTGCACTTGCTTGATTTTGGCATCTCCAATTTCTAATTTGGATACTGGGCATTTCCTTTTGCTGGCAACCATACATTTACAATTGCAGATTACAAAAGAAAACGATCAATAAATTTAAGAGCCATAAAATGTCCACCCCTATATATATATATATATATATATATATATATATATATATATATATATATATATATATATAGATAGTATGATAAAAACATACAAGCGCGCAGATATACATGAAGCTCTGAGTCGCGCTATCGACGTGAGATATGTATATTCATTAATATATATATATATATATATATATATATATATATATATATATAATTATAGATAACTAGACTCGTTTCGAAAAACCCTCGAATTTTTTGATTTGCTAATAATCAAATCAATCTCGAGGAAAAAAAGGTTTAAAAAAGAAAGAGCTACAAACATGAACTTCTGCCGACAAAAATATCGCACAGATACAGGTCTGAAGCCCAAAGAAAAAACCCCAATACGAGTAAACAACTAATTAACAAAAGCGCTCAATACAACCGTAGAGCAGACCTAGATACACCTAGTGAGCCAGACAAACCTACCTAGGTTTCACCTAAACGGATCGTCACTTACTTTCCCTGACGACCTAGGTAGGTATGTCTGGCTCACTAAGTCTATCTATCTATCTATCTATCTATCTATCTATCTATCTATCTATCTATCTATATGATAATACGATTGAAGACAGCCATATAAATTTTTTTCTTTCAAAACTAAGCAATAATAGTATAGATTACAGAGGCAATCACAGTGATATTAATATATTTTATCGTAACCATACAAAATTATAAACAGGATAAAAAAATGAATAACTCATGTTCAATAAAATAAGATATGAAATTATTTATATATTAAAAAAAATTAATTTAAAACGTAACTTTATTAACAGAAATAACACCTCGCCAACGAAATCAATATATATATATATATATATATTAGGTTGGTGCAAAAATAATGACGTAATAATGTCGTTTTTTACGTATTTTTTAACGTCAAAAACGACATTCTTACGTCATTATTTTTGCACCAACCTAATATATATATATATATATATATATATATATAAATATATACATAATATCTTATATTGATTGCACAACTCGGGTATCATACGTTATGAGTAGTGCAATCAATGTAAGATATGTAATATATTAAATAGCTCTGTTATTTAACATTAAAGCACTGT